AGTTTTTTCTTTTATTTCTTTTAAACTATATGCACTTATTTGCTTATTTATTTATTTTTTTTTCATACAATTAACACAGTCATTAATTAATTAATTAATTAATTAATTCTTTACATCGAATGTGAATAATTCATAATTATTGTTTATTTGCAGATAAATTTACGATTGATCTTAGTGAGTGGAAAAACAAAAGAATTTCAATTAGCATCAAATTCCTCAGCTCTTGATATAACTCAATATGTATTTGATCATTGGCCTGATGGTTTGTTGATTATTTCATTTCTTTTAAAATAATAAATTCTATCTAAATTAAAATTATGTATATAAAAATGTGGATTAATTAGTTTCAATAATACTAATTAGTAGGTAAAATAATAAGGAGAAATAAAGAAAATGATCTTTTTTATTAGAATTATTTAAAATTAATAATACTTTTTTAAAATGAATATGAAAGTTAATGAATTATCATATTTTTTTTCTCTTTTCAAAGCAAATTTAGTAGAATATTCAACAGAATTAAACTGTGCTATTTAATTTATTTTTAAAATTATAGTTTTTGTCATTTTGAATGACCTTTTTTTTTTTTTTTTAATAAATAACACACACGTGTTATATTATTGTTATACGTATGATATTATTATACGTAATTTAAAAGATTATACGTCATTTTAAAGATATTATAAACGTGATGATATTATTATACGTTATTTAAAAGATATTGTAAACGTGATGATATTATTATACGTTATTTAAAAGATATTATAAACGTGATGATATTATTATACGTTATTTAAAAGATATTATAAACGTGATGATATTATTATACGTTATTTAAAAGATATTATAAACGTGATAATAAATATATTATGTTAAATTGTAGCTCTTATCATTATCAAATTTTATTTCCTTGTTGATTTTTTTCATAAAAGAAATGATAATAAAATATGATATTTAAATAATTTAATTTTGCAACATTTGTTATTATAAACATATGTATTATATGTATTTATTTAAACATTTTTAATTTTATTATAATATAATAATAATTAATAAAATAATATTACTAATTAATATAATATTAAATTTTCTTTTCTTTTCTTTTTTTTTTGTTTTTCTAGAATGGAATGATGAGCGTGTAAATTCATCATCAATGCTAAAATTAATTTATCATGGACGATTTTTACATGGTAGTGTTACCCTTGGTGCATTATCATTACCAGTTGGGAAGACAGCGGTTATGCATCTTGTTACCCGTGAAAATTTACCCGAATCTACCACTAATGGTTTTCTTTTTTAATTTTATTCCTGTTCTTTTTTTTTTTTTAAAAAAAAATAAAGGTAACTTGTTTTTTTTTTTTTTTTTAATTTGATAAAAATATGAGTAGGTGTTTGTTTATAAAAAAAATATCATTAATTAACGATATAGATAATTAGCATTGAAAATTCTTAAATAGTAATTAGCTGAATGAAATATGCAAAATTATAGATTACAAACATTAAATTATTAGTTTTTTTTTTTCACCTTTCCTTTGATATAAACTAATTAATAGTAAAAAAAAAACGATGATAATAATAATTAGATAAATAAATAAACAAATAAGTAAATAAACAAATGAATAAATAATATAAAATCATTGATAATGTTAATAGGTAAAAAAAAAGGTAATAGATTATAATATAAACATATCTTATCTGTTTATCAAATTCATTTTATCATTTTATTTTATCACTTTTCATTTTCTTTTTCTTTTGTTTAATTAGGCTAAAATGCATTTCCTAATTAGGCTAAAATACACAGATTTTCTTTCTTTTTTTTTTTCCATTTTTATAAATTATTAGGAATAATTCGAAATTCTTTACAGTATAATAATATGTTTTAAAATTTGATAGAAATATAGAATTAAAATTAAGTGATAAAAAATGGTGTCAATAAATATTTCATCAATATATATATATATATATATAAATATTTTTTTTGAAAATATTCAAATGTTTAACTTTTTTTTTTCTTAAATTCATTATGATTGAAGAATTTTAGGAACATAAAGGATTTGTTTATGTTAACAAATCATTCATTTATTTAAGAGATACTTTTTTTAAGTATTTGAGTAAGAAATTTATCGGAAATTAATGAGGCATTAAATTATTTATTTCAGTGAAAAATACAATTCTTTTTCTTTTTTTTTTTTTGTATTATTTAAGTTATTTGAGTTAAATTTATTCATCCAAATTCTTTTTTTTTACTTTTTAGAGAATTTTTTTTTTTGTTTTTAAAAAAATATAAAAAAATTCCAGAAAACAAGGCAATTTTTTTCTTTTTCAGATAATTTAAAAAAGATGAAACGTAATACATGCTGCCGATGTTGTCCATCATAAAAATGATCAAATTTTCTACTTCTTCAAACGATGATATCATTTTGTGTAGGATCAAATCGATTGATTGATTGATTGATTGATTTCTTGCTGTCTGTTCAATCGATCATTGATTAAGACAACTCAGATATTCAAATGCGGTCAATCTCAGAAAAAGAAGAAAAAAAAAACTTCCAAATCTCTTAATGTATAACAAAATTTATTTTGTTTACAAATTTTTTAGGTTTTTTTGTACAGTACAAAGTGATTTGAAGTATATTTACCTTCAGCTTTTTTTTCATTTCATTTTGTAATAGGTAAATAAGTAAATAAACATTGTAAATGCTTAATTAATCAATTAATTGATTAATTAATTGCTACTGTATTTCTTTTTTTCTAGCAGTACAAAACTTTGGAATAATAAAGACTGGAAAAAATGTAAACAAAACAAAGGGAGGAGAGAGAGAGAGACTATAAATTTCGCTCATCCTTTTGGTACTAAATCCTAATTGCTAATATTAAATTTAGATTATAATTTTGATCCAATCTTCTTAACAGCATCCAGCATCCTCCCACCTTCTTTTTCTAATTAAATTAAAAATTATCATTAATGATGCATCATTCCAAAAATGATAAAATGTTAAGATGAAAAGTGATGTTATCAATGATTATCATTCAACTATTCACCATCATCATTTATATTCTTAACTAATCAGCTACTTCTTGATTGTAAATAGATTGAAAAAAAAAATATGCATTATTTGGTTATACATAATGTTATCAGAGGAATTTAGTTTTCTTTCAATAATTAAATTTGGGGAACTATTCATTACCTATGAAAAACTTAACAACAATACTTTACTTCTTCTTTTCTTTTTTCTTTGTTCTCATTTATATTAGCAAAAAGTTTTGCTGTTCCTTTCTTTAGATTTTTTTTTCATTTTTCATCAATTGATAAATCAGCCTATTACATTAGCTTTTTTTTTTCTTTTTGACTTTTTCTTAAAAACAACAAAAAATTGTTCGATATGAAAAATATAATTCCCATTTTTTCCTAAGAAATTTTAACTTTTTTTTTTTTTTTAAAAAAAAAAAGTAAAAAAATTTATGCATCAAGAAGTGAAAATACATGTAAACAAAGGATCAATTGTAAAATATTTTATGAAAACAATAAAATGAAAGAAAAAAAAAATTGGCAAAAAGAATGCAAAAAAAAAAAAAAAAAAAGAAATGAAAAACAGAAAGAGCAAAATCTACAAGAAAAACATACATGTACACGATGACGAAATTAAATTTAATACAAATTTAAATTTATCGATGACATAAAAACACGAAAAGAAATAAGAACAAACTAAAATGGTAATAATAAATACATTATAGTTTTACAATTGAAATAAATCCATTGTACCATTATATATCTTCTAAAATTTGCCAATATTAAAAATAAATAATATAAATGTTTGAAATGACAAATTAGGAATTAGAATTTTGAAATAAGGAAAAATTAAATTAAGTAAGCAAGGAACAATAATACACGACAAATTCACTTTTCACTCCAACTTTTTTTTTTTTTTTTTGTTGTTGTTTAAGATGTAGACTAGTTGATCTACTAAGAATTAATTATGATGATAATAATATATCTATAAATAAAACAGAGCTAACTGACTTAAATACAATACCTAAAAATCATTTTAAGCACTGGTTCATCTTTTCAATATCATTTCCTATTATAGGCTTCTTAACACTGATAACATTTTTGTTTCTTTTTCAAATTTTCATTGACTGTTATAAATTAAAAAAATAAATGAATAAAACAAAATATTTGCTATATTCAGTACATGGATATACTATCTAGAATTTAATTTATTCATAGAAAATTTGAAAAAAAAAAAACTTTTGAAATTTGAAATAAATCAAACTACGGCAATTCTTGTTTAGTAATAATAATAATAATAATAAGCTGAAAAATGAGAAAAAAAGATAATTAAGTATGAAAAATGAAAATGGAAAAATTCACAAACATAAATGGATGGCATGAAGTGGCTATTTAATCAATCATTTCACTTTACCTAAACTGAACTTCGTTTCAAATTTCAACATTTCCTCTTTTTAATACTGAGAGAAGAAGAGAATAAGAAATTATAAACTGTTTAAATAATAATAAAAAAAAAAAAAACAATAACCTTTACTAATACACTACTTATTATTATTATTATCAATACTATTGCTACTATTAACTATCAAATAGGTATAGTAAGCGGTGTTAATCAAAAATTTTTTCTCAACTAAGAGAATGAATAATTAATTATAAACTAATTTATGAAATACTATCAATGAATTTGAGTAAATTTTGAGACCCGTCTCAATAATTGGGGAAAATGGGCATAAATATAACGAAATGAAACGAAGCAAAGCGAAATTTACACAGAAACGATGAAAGCACAGTATTTTTCATTTCATTATTTGAACGTATGTATGAATACATTATGATAACATATGCATTACAATTTCAATTATTTCAAAAATTTGCAAAAAAAAGAAAAAGAAAAAATCAAACAACAAACATTATTTCCAAACATCATAGATTTCTTTGCAAGTTACCCGATTGTTACCCGTTTTTACATCAAGTTATACGCTGATAGATTAATCTATCTGAAATTATTATTGTCATTATTAATATTATTGTTATTGAATGAAAGATCAATGACCGTAATTTGCTAGAAATTAAATGATTTTATGCATCATTTTTATTCAAACAAACATATTTAGGTAATTTACAGCTCATATACCGGAAAAAGGAAATTATTATTATCCATTATTCATTTTCTATCCTTGACCTGAAATATTCTCGATCTATTTCCCTCACACTATTCACACAAAAATCAATCAGTTAGATCATGACTAGCTTTAAATCAATCATAAGACTACCTTCCTCCCGATTGCATAATATCTTCCTCGCGCTTTTGTCGTGCTAATTGCTCCAGTGTATTGGAGTACGGATTCTTGCCACTGTATAATGCCTGTTGTAAATTAGCTGCAGCTGCTGCATTACCAAGTGACATTAGATTAGAATTAAAAAGACCAGCTGCAGCACCAAGACTTTGCGGCAATCCTGCTGCCGCAGCCGGTCCAGGAATTCCACCCGGAGGTGCGGCTCCAGTTAAAGTATACGTTGATGGAAGACCACGAGACACATTATAAAGTTGCTGTTGTTGTTGCTGATGCTGTTGACGTTGCATTTCAAGTAGTGCTTCCAGTGATGGTTGCGATTGTTGCTGTCGCATTTGTGCAGCGAAAAGTTGTTGTCGCATGAGTTCAAGATTCGGAGTTGGTGTCATTGATGTGTTACCACCTATACCTGAGGTATTGCTCAAAGCAACCATATAACGATCCATCATTTGTTGCTCCATTTGCATACGCACCAAATCGAGAGATGATGGTGGTGGTGGTTGAGGTGCACCACTAACCGGAACATGTGGTCCGGTTGCAGTTGCAGCATTAGAACTCATTTGCGCAGCTGCAGCTGATTGTCGCAATGCTTCCATCTGAAAAAAAAAAAAGACATATTATTCGATGGAAAAATTGAAAATAGTATCACTTTTCAGGAAAATCGGAAATCTTCTAAAAAAATAATAAATAAATTGCAAAGAGCTGAGAGAAACTTAAAAAAATAAGAAATTCCCAAGGTATTTTTTTTTTTCAAGATTTCTCTATTTCACATCTTTTTCCTATATTTAGCTTTTTTTTTTTCAATCAAAGATTTGGACATTTCAAATTTTTCATATTTAAACTTTTTTTCAAAATAATTTTCCCATTTCACAAAAATTTCATATTTAACTCAAACTGAAAACATGAAAATTTTCAGTAACGGATCTTAATCAACTAACTGATTGCATTTGCTGTAATATAGCAGCCATATTGGGATCAAATAATCGCTGTGATGAATAAACAGACTGCGCCTGTGAAGTAACTGCCGAAAGAGGATGCGGTTGACCAGATGCGGCAGCGGCAGATGGTAACAGATACGCTGTAGATGAAAGGGTACCATTTGGAAGAGCTGCATTCTGTTGGGCATTTTGCAATGCAGCAAACATAGCCGCTTGTGCGGCTGCCTCACTAGTACCATTGGTGAGGGAAGCGGTAGCACCAGGCAAATTTGGCGCTAGAGGTAAAGATGAACCAAGAACGCCGGGTAGGGCACTTGGAAGAGATCCTTGAAGCTGAGGCATAGCGCCACCAGCTGCAGCTGCGGCAGCCGCAGCTACCGCCATTGATGGTGCCATTAGACTACCAGCACCACTACCGGTATTACCACCACCAAGTTGCAAATGTAATGCAGAAGCTGTTGGACTACGACTTATTGTTGTTGTCGAACGACCTTGTGATTGCTTTGGTGTCGCGCTGAAAAATTTTCACAAATTTTTCTAGTTTCATTTAACAAAATTACCCTCATAAGAAAAAAAAAAGTGAATAAAATGAAAAATTAAAATTTGAATGAAATTATTCATTATAAATTAATTATAGATCAAAATATATCAAAAATTTCAACTAATAAATAAAATAACGGAGGGAAAATTTTCTCTGATGATATCAATCATAACAGTTATAGATCAATAATAATAATAAACAATCATAATATGATGGATTATTATATTATTAATAAATAATCCCAAAATTAGTTGTATTAATTTAAGCTTATCTATTCTTTTGCTTGGTTAATATTTTTCTTTTTTCTTCTTTTTTTTTTCAATCAAAATAATAACAATATCATTATATTAAGTAATGAAATTTAGTTCTTGAAAAAAAAAAGTGTAAATTGTACATACCTTTGACGAGCTAATTTACTAGAATCAGGAAGTTGTTGAAATGGTAGAGTAAATGGTGATGATAAAGCACCAGATTGTGCTAATGCAGGAAATGATGTTGGTAATCCGCTACCCAAACTGAAATTAATTAAGATGATAATTAAATATTATATTTCTTAGATAAAATAATCCAGCTAAGGAATATATGAGAAATTAGCAAAAATATGCTAATGATTAATTCTATCAGGTATAAATTTTCATCTAAGAATTAGTTATTAGTTAGATTTTCTTTCTTTCTTTTTTTTTTTTTTCTAATGGAAAAGCAAAAAAGAAATAAATGACCATTCTAACTACTTTAAATGACTTTTTTTTTTAAATTGATTTTTACAATTTGAATAAATTTATAATATAAAATTATGCAATTATGCTTTAGTATTATTATTTATTGTTACATATGGAAAGAAACAATAGCAAATTATAAATTTATGATAAAAATATATTTAAAAATGCTAACATAAGGCAAAAACATTCACCTCTGTCATCCTACATCATTATTTCTCATTTGTTATTAGCATATTTATTAATAAACAAATATATTCATACATTAAAATCTTATTTTCATCTCATTTTTAACATTTTAATGCGTATAGATCTCTTGAAAAGAATAAAAAAATTCAATTTGTTTACTTTTTTTTTCCTGCAAATTTTACTTTTAAATTACTTTTGCAATAATAGCACAAAAAAAAAAGAAAGAAAAGAAATGACGTATGTAAATAGGTTAATGATAAAATGCTAAAAAATATATATATGAAAAGCTGTAGCATTATTTGAATAATTCAATGACTTTTTTTTTTTTTTAAATTGAAAAGACCTTCTATTGATATTAAAGTCATTTATGAAATCAAATAAATCTTAATGAAATTTTTATAAAGAAAAAAAAACTAATTTATATTTCTCAATCAACAAAAAAAAAAAAAATTTTTTTCTTTTATTTTCCTATTAATTTAGATAGCTATAAGCACTCTTACCATATCCAATTTTAATACCTATGAAATTGAATTTATTATCTGTTTTTCATCTAGCAAAAAAAAGAGAAAAAATAGTACCAAGTATTTAAATTTTTAATTAAGACTACTGATGAAATCTAACTATATTATTCATTTCATTTCTTCTTGTTTCTAATACATTCATCTCAACAATTCCACAAACTAATAATTACACCCATATCCCCTCGATAATTCCAAAAGTACTTTTTAGTTTTTAACTTTACTTTAATTTCACCAAATTGAAATCTAATTTCAATTCTTTGCCTATCAGTTATCTATCTCAATTTTATCCGGCAATTTTACTATTCTCCATTCTTTTTTTCCTCTCTTAACAATTCTTATCTTTTTCTAACTTTTCATTTTTTTTTTTCTAATAATAAACAGTAAGAAAAAAAAAAGAATTTCACACTAATCTTTTACTTTGAAATTCATTTCTTTTTTGATTCTCAACAAATAATAATTGCAATAAAATTTAAATCTTAAATTAATTAAAAAATTTTATTTCAAACCTGAAAATATTTTCAATTTAAATATTATAGTAGAATTGAAATCATTTCGTAATCATACAAATACAAAAAATAGTTTACTTAAGTGAAAATGAATTTAAAAGGTATAATTAATTCATTTGATATTTGAAATTTACACAACATTCTTATAATAATACATTAATATTAATTACACACAATGACATTTTATTTAATCAAATGATTATTATATTTTAAAAAATTTTAAAATTCAAAAAAAAAATTAATTACTTACCTTGGCATATTAGCATTTGAAGTTGAAGGTGGACAGAATGGAGCTGTTACACCACCTGCTCTCATCGTAGGTGCATTATTACTATTATTTTGAGATGAAGATACTGCTGCTACTGATGATGATGATGCTGATGCTGCTACTGATGATGATGATGAACTTTGTGATACTGCAGCTGCAGCTGCAGCTGCAACAACTGATGGTTGTGGTGTTGAACGGCGTTCTTTTTTCGATAATATTTCATATGCTATTTTGATATGCATTGCACACCATCGTCCTTGTTTAGTCTAAAATTAAAATTCAAAAAGAAAAATTTGATTATAATTTTTAATTGATAAAATCATAGAATATCATCGCATAACATATCAATGATTCTTTTAAAAAAAACCGTTCTTTTTGTTATTACTTCCATATGTTTCTTTTAAGTTGCAAAGAAAAAAAAAAATTCATTTTTATATTATTTTAATCTATTTTATTTTTTTTGATCAAGGAATGTAAATCATAAAAGAGAAAATAGTAGCTCTCTCTCTGTCTTTTTTCTTTCCCTCTTTCTCCTCTCTTTCTTTCTACCTCTATTTGTCAATATGGATAAAATTGAATTTATTATATATTACATAATAATATTTCATTTAAAAAGGAATAAATTTACTTTTCTAATATCTGATAGATTAATTTTATGATTAAAAAAAAAAATTATATCTAACATACATATAAATATAAATATATATATATATATGTATTATGACGTTCGAAAATAACATTTTATATTAGCTGTCAAATCCTTTCAAAATGACAAAGAAAGATAAAAAAAAAAAAAAGTGCTTTGTTAAAAGAAAATTCATTGCTACTTTATTGCTTTCAATTCAATTCTTGAAATAATTAAGTGAAATTCTTTGATTAAAATCTCGAAATCCCTCATTCACAGTATGTTTAACATTTCACACAAATGCAAAATGTTAATTTTGTACTATGAATGGTGATAAAAACTAATGAAAATTTAATTCAAAATAAATGAAACATCTGGAAAAATTAATCAAACCTTAATTATGCAATAACAAATATCAAAGAAATAACAAATAATAATACTACAGAATAATAAGATAAAAAATAAGAAATAAAATGAAAGAAAAAAAAAAAAAAAAGGGAATACCTTTATAGGTAATGGTTGTGTACCAGCGGTAGGTAAAGTCCGTCCTAATAATGCAGCATTAGCAAGTTGTGAACCAAGTGCAGTACCGGGTGGAAATTGAATACAACCAATTGATGATGCAGCAGCAGCAGCGGCAGCAGCAGCAGCAGCAGCTGAGGTTGATGGTTGTGCTGTTGCTGAAAGTGTTGTTGGAGGCACGGTACCTTGAGCAAGTGACATTGACTGAAATATATATAAAATAAATAAATAAATAAATTCATTTAAGAAAAATAAAAATTCAAATTTATCATTAATAGTAATAAAAAAAAAAAAAAACCCTTTTAATCATATAACAAATGAATGAATTTCATCTAAAAATTCAAAAGGGAAGAAAAAAAATTGCAATGATAAAAAAAAATGATTGGTTAACAGCTAGCCAAACAATCATATAGCAATAGGAATTATTGGTTATGATAAAATTTATTCTGATTGTAAAAATGGAAAAAAAAGGATTCTATAATATCAGCTGTCATATGATTGCTTATTTTCATTGCTAATTCACCTGTTAAAATGGAATGAATTAGATGGCTTGTTGAGATGCTTTACATATTTAGAATAAAAAAAAAGGAAAAAAAAAATAAAACTTTTGCAATGAAAAGTATTTAACTAACTTGTTGTGTTTGCTGTTGTTGTAGAATTTGTGCAGCAAGAAATGGGAATGCAGCTGCAGCTGTAGCATTCGGTGGTGCACCAGAAAAAAATAAATTACCAAAATCGGCACCACCAATGGTTGTTGATCCGGTACCACCACTACCACCAGCAGCAGCAGCAGCAGCTGCAGCAGCAGCATTCAATGCAGCAAGATTGGTGCCACCAAAAAATGCTTGTCGAAATGGATCAATTAAAGATGCTGTAGGTGGTTGCGGCGGTGGTGGTGGTGGTGCTGATGATGGACCGGTTACTCCACGATTATCCGTATTGGTGGTACAAACGGTAGCACCTGCAACAGCTGATGATAGCTCATTCCGTCCGGTAGGAGCAAGTACACCAATCGAAAGTCCAGATGATTCACCACTTAAAGAATTAACGGATGATAAATTCGATAGATTTATTGATGGTGCAACGGTAACACCGGTTTGTTGCTGTTGTTGATGACCTGCAACCACCGATGTTGATGGTACATCATGTCCTGGATCCACCGGATGTGTTGCTGCAACACGATTTATCGTAACTCCCATTGAGTCAAACGGTTCAACTATTTCTGATATTTTTTTTTTTGCTATTCCGCAAAAAAATAAAATTAAAAATATCAGTTTTTTCTTCTTTTATTTTTCTCCACCTGACCAATTAATTATCTTCTGTTATTTGCTGTAATCAAAGATGAAAAAATAAAAGGGAAAAAGAAAAAAAAAAACAACACAATAATATCATTCATTCATCTCTTTGTATATATGTTTTTTTACAAAAAAAAAAATTCCCTCAGGTAATGTTAATTATCATTGGTCTACAAAAAAAAAAAAAAACAATTAATTTCCTAAACGATGTGACCTTTTCATTTTTATTTATTGTCATCATTATCATTATCATTAGTGATTTAAACATCCTCTAACATTCCATCTATTAATCACACAACATGAACATTACACAAAAGTCGGGCAATTTAATCAGTCCCCATTTCTCGATTCTATTCTGTCATGATCAACAATCATTTTTCCATCTTCTGTTACACACATAAACAGCAACCGTAAAATCATAAAACAAAACAAAAAAAAAAAAAGGGGAAAAAAGGGGAAAAAATAGAAAAAAAAAAAATGAAATAAAATTTAATGGTAATCTCGACATCATCCATGCGACACATATCAAACTATTTTAGATGACATCAAAACTAATTCATTCTCCTTTTTTTTTTCTCCAATTCTTGTTCTTTTTTTTTTTTTTTATTTTCACAGGTTTAACATTAACATACGATCATTATATAATTTAATAAGTAAATAAAATTAATTCTGAAAAAAAAAAAAAAAATTAATTTGAAAATATAATAAATACTTTTTACTTACTTTCAACAGAAGCTGATGATACAGGATCACGTATGTCAGTCGTACGTGATAACTGCCCATTCCATGTTGTTTGCCCAAGTTTATCAGCAGCATTTGACATGTCAACTTTTGTCACGATTGTGTTTACACGTGTTACACCTGTTGTAGCACTACGTGGTGGTGATCCGCTCATTATTGCTGATATATCTTTCTTTGCTGCTATACCAATTAAACCATTCCTAAGAAAAAAAAAAATGATTTAATTTAATTTAAAAAAAAAAAGTGGGGAAAAGATAAACGGATGAAAAATACTAGAAAAGCAACAGAGCAACAAAATGTAAATATCATTTTTCATTCTTAAACAAAAAAGAAAAAAAAAGAGAGGTAAGATAGGTAAAATGATAATTAATTGCTCATAAAAATACTTTTTTTTTTTTGAATTTTTTAAAACAAGTAATTTTTAAAAAAGTAAATAATGATATAAACGAATTATTAAATGACTGATCTAAGCGATCATTGTTTTTAAATAACAGAAAATGTATCAAAATGATATTAGAAAGAAAAAAAAAAACAAAAAAATTGAAAAGTTTTATGAAATAAGTAGAGAATGTTAGCATATGTAAAAGTATATTTGATAGTAATTTAAATTCTAATAATTACATTTTATCGCTATTTTTTAATTGTAATTTCATTCACTAATTTCATTTTTGTTATTAATTTGAATTCCAATTAAATTTTCACACACAATTCACAAATGTATTTGATAATTTCATTTTCAATCATTCATTCTATTATCATCAATTGGAAAACAGCTTTTAATTTGCATTTGCTCGATAATTGAATGTATTATAATACACTGGCGATCATAATTATATTCTCTTACTGATAACAAGTAAACAAACTATCGCTTTTATACTGATAATTTTTATCACTACAACGATCTAACTTTTGATCTGATGCTTCAAAATATGAATATTCGTTTTTTTTTCACTTATTATTATTATTATTGTTATTATTATTATCAATCAAAATTAATAACTCTCAACAGTTATACATCTTAAATATCATTACAGTTTTATTTTTCTTTTCTTTTTTTTTTTTTTTTTTTTTTTTTTCAAATGAATTATACATTCGATTAAGAAATGAATGAAATAATTTGTTGTGAAATTAATGAGTTAAGAAGAACAAATTAATTTCAATTAAAAAGGAATGAAAAAGAAGCAAAAGCCTTCACAGTAAAGTTTTTTTTTTTTTTAAATTAAAATTTGTGTAATAAACTGAGTCAAACCAATATAAAACAAAATTATGTGCTATTAACTGTGATCATAATTTTTTCAAAATAACTGCTGGAATGTCGTAAAAAAAAAGGAAACAAACAGTTACGCATAATTTTTTCTTTCGAAAATGACAAAAAGAACCAAAGGTTAACTCTTTTCTGAATGTTTGAAAAAATAAATGCTTCTCTTATCGATGTAACAAATTTTGGAAGAAAAAAAATAAAATTAACGAATGGCTACTTATTCTTTCTCTTTTTCTCAAACTAGGCTTATCTATTTGTTTTGCTTTTTCTTTTACTTGCCAAAATTGATTTTAAATTTTGTAGTTTTTCGAGATGAATGTGAAAAATGTGTATCAAAATTTAGATCAAATATATATAATAATTATAATTAGATGGATTATATTATTTAGATTATATATATATATATATTTCTCGTATATATTTTTAATGATAAACAAATTTGATTTATGTAAATTTTCCTTTTCAAACATTTCCCATTCAAATTTCATTTATTTATTCACCAATAATCGGTTAAACAAATATTGTCCGAAAAAGATGCTTGGAAAATTGTAAATTTTCCAATGTATTTATTCAGTAATTTGCTAAGCATAATAATAATAATAATGATAATAATAATTTAACAAATGATCTATTATGACAAACTAAAATGGAACAAATTTTGGTATAAAATTCAAAAAAAGAAATAAATATATATGTGAGAGAGAGAGAGAGGGAGTAAAATAAACAAATAAATAAACAAAAAAAAAGGAAAAATAAACAAATAAATAAACAAAAAAAAAAACTAACTTATGATCTTCTTGATGATTTTGTTCCAATTTAACCCGTTTCTCATATCCAACACCATCAATAAGTAAATCAGATGATCGTTTAAGCATATTACTTAATGCATTATTTTGATTACCAATAGTTGGAATATTTGCAGAGCACACCGAAATACCAGTATCATTCATCCAGGTAATTGTTGTTGTATTGTTACTATCAATATGTGTTGTTGTTGTTGTTGTTGTTGTTTCACTTGGAATTTGTTCAATTCGTCCTAATAAACGTGAATAACGCTGCAAAAAGAAAGAAATAAAACAAAAAATTATATAAATAAATTAAAATGAAAAAAAAAAAAGAAAACAATCAAAAATTTTATAATAAAAATTATAATTTATAAAAAAAAGAAAAGAGAAAAAAATAGGAAGAAGAAACAAATAAATAAATAATAAATCATTTAATTTCATTCTTTTTTTTTTCTTTTTCTATTACTCATTTATCTTTTTATCAATCAAATATTAAAAAACGTTTTTTTTTTTTTTTTATAATTGCCAAATACAATAATTTATTGCAAAGAATGAATAATTCAGATTTGATGTAATACAATAATAAAATTTTATATTAATATATTTGAGAATTACTTATAATTATTAAAAAATTTTTAAACTATTCAAATATTCTAATATCATATAAATATAATCAATTTATCATTTCATATTAAATCTTTTCTAACACACACACAAAGACAAACATATAATACATACACACATAATTCGAATTAAAAAAAAAAAAAAGAAAATAGAGAAAGAGTGATCAAAGATTATGAATGAAATAAATTAAAAATTGTAAATGTATCCAAAAATACACATTTAAAATAATTTCCTTCAACTAAATTAATTTTTTCAATTTCAATTACAATTATTTTTTACTAACAACTATCATTACTTACCACATACATACATATATATTTCCCTATTATTTTACTTTTTTTCAACTTATTATTCCTCCTCTTATCATTATCATAAATCATTAACTTTTCAACTCTCTTTTCACTCTCTCTCTCTCTCTCTCTCTCTCTCAGTTATCATTTATCAAAATAAGAAAAAGTTTAGAATAAAAAGATAATGAAATTAATATAAATAGAGCACAAACAAAATGCTAATTTTCTTTCTTATTGCTTTTAAGAAAAGTATTTATTGGTGAATAACAATCAAACAATCAAAAATCATTCAATCATTTCATTAAATATTACAATAATAGCAATTCTTTCCTCTCTCTCTTCTCTTTTTTTTCCTTTTTTACACTATCATTTTAATCAAATAAACCAATGAAAAGAAGAAAATCAAGAGAGAGAGAGAGAGAGAGAGAGAGAGGGTAAAAGAAAGAAAGAAAGAAAATGAGAAAAGTATTATCAGTAATTGAATGAATGATGAAAATGATGAAAAATCCTGATAAATGTGTATTATCATGATTGAAATACCACTCTATTTTTTACACAAAAACATTACAGAGAGAGAGAGAGAGAGAGAGAAAAAAAAAAGAACGAAAAGAATTTTATCAAAAGAGGAAAACTTGACAATGAATTAATTTGATAATATTTTTTGAATAAAAAAAAATGAATAGTAATGAAGAAATGGAAAAATTTTATTTTAAATTATTTAACCTATGAATTTAGTATTAATCTTACAAATAATATTATATAAAAATTTAAAATTAATCCCACATTTCAGTTATAATTTAATCCATTATTATATAATTTTATTAGAATTTCATTTGCAATGCTTATTTATTGACAAATCTATTTGGATTCTTTTGCAAAACAAAAATAAAAATTTCTCGTTTTTTTTTTTTTTCATTAATAATGAATTACTAAATTAATTATGGAGAAATCAGTGGAAAAATAATTTATGCAAAAGAGAAATAAGAATAAGAGAAATTAATGAGTAACACATTTACAAATGTATAAATAAAATTAAACATATGTGTTATAAATCAATAGCTAATTATGCAAAATTGAAAGAAAAAAGCTAAAAAAAAGATTAATGAATAATACTTATTTAATAAAAATTAAATATATCACATAAATTAGCAACCAATAATTATGCAAAATGAGGTAAAAAAGAGTAAAAATAATCATTTTTAATATGTATGTATATAATAATATAAACAATAAACATTGATTTATAAATTAAATAAGTTTATGAAATGAATACTAAATGAAATAAAGCAAAAATAAAAATAATATATTTGAAATAAGTAAAATTATTTTGATCATATATAAACATTATTAATCGAAGTTCCGCGATATAAATTAATGGTAATTACTGAAAAGAATGATGAAAGATTGCGGATTAAAAGAGAGTATGAGAAAAGAAAAGGAAAAATTCATCACCAATATTTTAATCAAATATGAAATGAAAGGAGGAGAGTAATGCCCTCTACTTCATAAACAGGTTTGATGAATAATAATAAATCATATATTATATAAGAAGTTAGAAGGAGATATTGAAATAAAAGGAATGAAATGGGTAAATTTTACCCTTAATTGAAGGTAAAAATGAAAAAAAAGAAAAATTGAACAAAATAATAATTATAGAAGAAAGAAAATATTTGATAATACATATATAATATTCGTTAATATATGTAACTAATTTATTTTTAGTTTATATAAATATTTTTACAATTCTTTCTTTTTATTTATTTTCTGATGTAATAAAAAGATTAAAATTCAATGAAAATTTTAAAATCACCTTTTTAAAAAAAAACAAAAAAATGCTCGAATCTAATCTTTTCGAAAAAAAAAATGGTTGTTAGGGAGAAAGATTCAAATATATATATATAATAAATAGAAAACAAATAATCGTAAAAGAAAACCAAAATTAGAAATTTTCGAAATATACAAACAAAAGAAGAAAATAAATATGGAAATAGGATAGATGTTTATCTTTTAAATATATTCCAACAACAAATATATTAGATCAATCAATCAATCAATCAATCAATCAAAAAAAAAAACAAAGAGAGAAGCAAATTCTTTGTTTCATTGTTTTAACTTCAATTTTAAAACCATTTTTTCATGAAAAAACAAAAAAAAAATTCGTTTTTTTTTTCTTTTTCTTAAACAATTAGCAAAGCAAAAATTTTTGCAATAAAAATAAATAAAAGAAAACACACACACACACACACACACAAAGAAAGAAAGAAAGAAAGAAATAGTTGGAATTTTTTAATTTGCATTTTATTTTATTTTTTTTTTTAATTTATATAATCAAAAATGCTTTATTAAAATAAATGAATGAAATAAAAAAGCAAAAAAAAAAAAAAAAAAGAAAAAGGAAATAATATAAGTGAAAAAGAGTAAGAAAGTAAGAAAGTAATGGCAAAAAAAAAATTTTTGCTTAAATACATTTACATTCATTCATTAGTTTAATAAAATTTTTAATTTTTCTACTTTCCTTCTCCTTCGTTTTTTTTTTTTCTCTTTCTTTTTCATAGAAATTAATTAGATTTTACATGAGAAATATTTGACCTTAACAAAAATTAAAAAAAAAAATACAAATAAAAGCTATTTTAAAGAGAGAGAGAGAGAGAGAGAAAGAGAGAGAGAAAGAAAGAAGGAAAAATGAATTACTATTTGCAATAAATTTAATAAAAAAAAAAAATTTAAACTACCAAAGAAAGAAAAGGAACAAAAAAAACAAAACAAAACAAATTGGTTTCTGATTTTTCTTCGCTTTTTTTTTTCCTTTCATTTTTTCCGCTTCTCTTATCATTTTTAAATATGATACTTTGATCTTTCTCAACTCTTCTCTCTCTCTCTCTCTCTCTCTTTTTTTTGCTATTAAACTTTACGATACATCCTATAATCAAATTTATTTTTCATACTTCATATATTGAAGATAATAAGTAAAATGGAGAAGAAGAATAAGGAGAGAGAGAGAGAGAGAGAGACAGAGAGAAAAAAAAAGCAAAAAGAGCAAAGTACAAATTAATTTTGGAAATAATAAATTTTTGAGGTAAAAAAAAAAGTAAAAAGGAAGGAAAGAAAAATTAACAATTAATTGTAATAATGGAAGTGATAAATATGAATTTGTAATTTATGAATTGAAAAAATTTTCTCTCAAAAAAAAAAAAAAAAAAATTATTAATGATTAATGATGCAATTCATAAATTAATGAGCGCAATTCGTTTTTTTTTTCTTTTCTTTTTTAATTTTCACAAAAAATAAAAAAAAGAAAATATAGGAATGAAATTGAAAATATATGCAAATTAAAAATGTGAACAATTTCCCCTAACAATTGCTATAATATTTAGTTTGAATAATTTAAAAAAGAAAAAAAATTTCTCTCAATGATACTTTCTGATTATTATTTTGCAGGAACAAAAAAACTAATAAACAAACAACAAATTAAATGATAAATAATCGAAATAACAGTATAGTTTGTAATACAAACTTTTCTTGCTATTCTTTTTGTTGAAATTTTTTAAAACAATAATTTCATATTAATAAATTTGCATTCTCTTTCTACTATTATTACTAGAATTACGTTATCACTTTATCATTATCACTGAATTGATTATAACTGATATTAATAATAATTGTTATAGTAATAATAGCATTTGTCAAATATTTGAACACATGAAAGGGGGAAAAAAAAGGAAGGAAAATGTAAAAAGTAGCATGCAATGCATATTCCTAAAAATACCCCTGAGAGAGAGAGAGAGAAAGAGAGAGAGAGAGAAGAAGAAGAATGAAAGAAAGGAAAAGGAAGAGGAAAAGCAGATGAAAAAACATTTGACATAAACTGACTGATAGATAAATCATACATCAGCCATTAAAATTTAGACAACGAAAAAAAAAAAAAGAACTATTTTCCGTTTTTTTTTTTTAAAAAAAAAAAAGAAAGAAAAATTTAAAATGAAAATGTAAAAAAAAAAACAAAAAGTAAAGAAAAAAGTTCCTGCAACTAATACAAATGATCAATCATTTTGAAATTTCTCCCAATTTTACAACCCATTTCACCCACCCACGCACCTTTTTAATTCATTCATTCATTCATTCAACCATAATTTTCAACAAAACGGTTAGTCCGGTTTTCAATTCTCTTCTCTTCTCAACTTTATCCAACATAATACAACTATTCCCTCTCTCTTATACAATAACCCTTTCTCTCTCTCTCTCTCTCTCTCTCTCTATAATTCATTCATTTCAAACTCTCCAATTATTCAATCTTCTAAATTTTACACTTATTGTCTCTCTCTCTCTCTTTCTCTTTCCCTTCTTCTCCTTTTCTCT